GCCAACCATTCACACACACCAGACTGTTTTGGCACCCACCTCGTGTTCCCAGAGGTCTCCCATCACAGTACTAACCAGGCCCTGCTCTGCTTAGCTTATTTTTCGAAACCGGGTTTACTTCGTCAGAACCAGTAAAGAGACATTGGGATCCCCTTATCGGTCAAAACCAAACCAGTCTCTTCCAAACTGGCGACTTTGATTAGGAACAAATGCATGAAAAAAGCACACGCCAAAGAAAGTTCTAGAAGACTCGCAATTAGCAACAGATGGATCCAAAAAAACGGTTGTGAAATTAATTTGACTAACAACACTTCTGATGCTCTTAAGTTGGCTGAGACGCACATACACAAACTACATTTTGCACTGAGCCACATACGGCAATCAGCGCCGTCAATGTCACGGTGCAGCCATCTCGTGCTTTTGAGCCGTGGCGGCGTCGTAACGGCCCATCTGTCCGGCTCAACGTGGACGCGGAAGCAGGTGGTCAGCCGCTACAACTCGCCATTCAGCCCATACTCACGCAGGCGGTGATCAAAAGAGACCCGGGCTGCTAAATATATACGCTAGCTCATCCATATTCATGCGGGCTACAGCTAAACGCCTCCGCTGACATCCATTAGCCGTATACAGGCGGCAGCGAAGAGGCCGCGGCGGAGAATTTGCATGTGGACATTAACAGATTAATCACAAGTGACAGTCCAGGGGTAACGCGCTGGTCACAGATCCACTCTGGAAGAAGGATGGACGCCGACCTCGGTGGGGGCAAATTATTCAAACAATCCATTCTGTCGATGATGGCCGAGCTGGACTAAAATAAAATGTTTAGCCAAGAACGAAACAGACTCTTTTGAGGTTTGAATCAAGAGGGAATAGTTTTTGACAACAAAGAGGGAAAGGTAAAAAAAAAAAAAAAATTAAAATCCTGTATTTTTGAGGGGACATCGTGAAGCGTTTCGACCTCTCACGGGTCTTCATCGAGGCGGGTTTTAGGGCATACTTTTGGTTTGAGTGATTTGAATGGAGGTTATTTCCATTCGCCGGCTGTTCCACTGTGTAATATTACGTTTTTGGGCCACGCCAAATGGTTTCATGCACCGTAGAGGATTGTATCTGAACCTGACTTGCCATCGAGCGCTGGTGCTAATTTCAGAAACCTGCTTCCTGCCAATATCAGACGCAAGAAGGTACAGCTTTGAAAGAACATGTTACAAAGCAGAGCGTGCAGAGTGTCTGGTTCTCAGAATGCATTTGTAATTCACTATAAAGATTCATTAACACTAGGACTCCAAGAATTATCAAACTGCAAGAACTCCCAGAGCCGTCGTTTTGACTGCTTCAATTACCAGCAATAGAATTCTGAGAAATACCCCCAAAAAAGTGTAGTTGGCCACTATTTTTCAAAAGACATTTTTTATTACCAAGTGTTAACACTGGAGAATCGAAAATGAAAAACACTCGAAAGACCAAATGCTAACTGCTGCAAGAAAACAGTGATTTTCTATGCTAACTAGTGCTAACTCTTCTCTGGTGGAAAGAACCAGGACCAGTCCAGGACCATGAAAAAATGGCTTTAACTGCCATAGAAAGTTGGTTACCAGAATCCTGGATGGTGTTATTTTTGAGTTTTGTTCTTTAAATGTTTCTACATTTTTGGCAGTTCTACATTTGAGTTTTGTCTGTTCTGCACCGTGACACAGTTCATCCAAGACCTTTCAGATCTTTCAGGTTTGGTGCATTTCATGTTTTAGACAATTAACTATTTCTTGTAAAGTGTTTGATTCAACTGAAACAGAAACTGCAGCTGTAAACGCTCTGGTAATAAAGATATCCATAATTACACAGTTATAGAAAAAGGCAAATGAAAGAAAAAAGAGGCTCCATTATGCACATGGAAATGAAGGCCATTGATAGAATCGACTCGTCAGCAGCTTTGCTAATTAGCTTACATGAATAACTCGGTTCATGTGAACATTCAGCAAAGAAGCTTTTCCTCAATGACATTTAGTTTGTGCAGTTTACAGCAGGTTTAATCTGTAACTAATGTTACCTGTCATTAAGCTAATGGTGTGGTCCACTCAGCTCTGTGCTGCTCTGGGCATTGTTTGCGTTGCACACATTAAGTGAAACAATTTATGGAGGAAGTTATCATTATTATTTCATTCGCATTATGCACATGAAATGTGTAGAATAGAAACAATAGAAGCAGCGCATGAAGCAGTGACATCACCACAAAGAGCCTTAAACCCACAATGACCTGCTTTACTTTACTGCTGCAGCCAGAGAGACTTCCCTTAATGTGTTATTAACGCTGGAGAGCAGCTTCAGTGACAGACTGATCCGCCCTTGCTGTGTGAACTCGCCATTGTACAACGAACAATGAGGACTAGCTTCCAACATTACCTCACATGTTGTGCATCTGTGCAATAATTTTAAATAATGTCAGAATGTGCTAAAAAGAACCATGTGTCACTGACAATGTGTCCAAGAACCTTGTGCTGCAACATCATTTTTGCTTCTTTACTATGCTAAAGTCAGAATGTTTTTTTCTTTGTGCATGTATAGATTTGTTTTTTTTTAGTTTTTTTGAGAGAGAGAGAGACAGAGAGAGAGAGACAGAGAGAGAGACAGAGAGAGAGAGAGAGAGAGAGAGAGAGAGAGAGAGAGAGAGAATACTGGTAGTAGTAGTAGAACGTGACACACTTTGTGGTTGCTGTAGTATGTACTTTCTTTAAAGCCATACAAGGGAAGAGAAAGAACCGCCCTCACTCAGGATGAAAGCCAATCAGCTCTCAGCTCAAAGGTAACTCTGGTACAACTATGTAAATAAACAAACAAAGATGCGTGTTTTACAAGACTCTTTCTGTTACAAAAACAAAAGTAGTTATTTTTCTAAAACAAACAGAAAAAATGTCCCCGGCTTTAAAAACTGGGTGAAACAAGTAATATATCAGGCTTATGCATTTGAACCTGTCATATGTCTCTAACCAGACTGAGGATCACTGTATCATCAGTGCATAAGGATGAAACACACAAGATTCTTATCAATGCACAAACCCAAACATAAACAGAAAAGTGCAAAGGACAGTTCTATAGCATCAAGTCATGCATCACGATTTGACACGTGCCTCATTACTTTGCTACGTTCATTTCCATCCTGCTCCTTCTCGACTGGCACATGCTTCCAGGCCTCTATGTGCCACATGCGACATCACTCTTATCTACTGAACCTGTCACGGAAAATAATGTATCAGTGCCTATTTGCGGCGTGTCCCGCTCCGGCTGCTGCCTCCAATTTACCTGTTGCGGTGCGAGTTCCCCGGTGAGCGCGGCTAAAATTAGCAGCGCCCGAAGCATCAATCACACATGTGTCAGAGTGGCTGGGGACAGGAGCCCGACTAGGAGCCGACCAGGAGCCCAACCCTGAGGGGGCAGAGCTGGGCAGGAGGTGAGCGAGGACACCGAGAGGAGCCGGAGAGCCGGGCTGTTCGCTCATGCTAATTTCATGCTTAACCGTTTGATTAAAGGTTATGCAGCCGACCTTCAGAGCAGCGGTTATTAATGGCTTGGCTGCTTCATGCTTCACTCTCTTCTCTCTGCTCCTTTATGTCTGCACTTTTCATTTCTCTTTTTGTTTTCCATGAGGAATGTGCATCTTTATCATCAGAGAAAAGCTCATCCACAAATATCAACGAAGGACAAGCTGTTGCAGACGTTTACGGGGCAAGAAATACTATTGAGAACGAGGGGATGGAGACTTCTGGTACTTCAGTCTGGAACGCCTCAAGACGTAGTTTGCATTTGAATTTCATTTTTTGTCAAGATGCATGAATAGACACAAACAGACGCCTCTAAAATAATTATTGCATTTAAACATGAATGTTTGTTAAACTTTGGCGACTAGACTCTAGCAGGAGGGAGTTTAACAGAAATGATGTGCTTGCAACCCCCCGGGGCCTAGGGCAGAGGGGGAGGAGCCAGTGCAGAGGGGAAGGAGTCAGTGAAGAGGGGGGAGTCAGTGAAGAGGGGGGGGGGGGGGGGGGGGTCAGTGCAGAGGGGGAGGAATCAGTGCAGAGGGGAAGGAGACAGTGCATAGGGGGAGGAGCCAGTGAGTCAGTGCAGAGAGGGAGGAGCCAGTGCAGAGGGGGAGGAGTCAGTGCAGAGGGGGAGGAGTCAGTGGCCCAGTCCCAATACCCACACTGCACCCTACACACTTCTACGAAGTGTGCATTTGTTCGAAGTGCACACCAGGGTTGGAGTGCGCAGGTTACAAGTGTGCAAAAAAGGCGGAATTGGGACAGTGCACACTGAGTGCAGGATACGTCATCGACTCGTCAAGAGATGGTCATTTTTAGACCTAAACTTTATAAACATTAAAGGTAACTTTGTCTGACCCTTTGGGAAACAAAATGAATTGCTTCACACATGTTAAAATACATGTATATTAGTTGTTTTTAATTAGAGATAGCTGTATAATTTTAAGTTAAATGTGGGTAACTAACTATCTGGTCAGTTTTTATACATTCTAAGATTATTGTACTAAGTGTAAAGTTTAAATTGAATGTTATATAAACGCTTGCTTTAAAAAGTTATTAAATTGTTAAAACACAATGTCCGTAATTCTTCATCAAACGTTTATGCTTCTTTCCAAGTAACATAGCAAAACTTATTGACACACATACAGCATATATATTTCAAAATGTATATTTAAATGCATTTTCCCGACGTTTTGGTGTGTACCGCAAAGAATTATGGGCAATATCCTTCGCCAGAGTGCGCATAGATGCAGGCTGCGGTGAAGTGTGGATCAGGGGCGCAAAGGGGGCGGGGCCAAAGACCTCCCTGGAGAATTGGGACACCCTACGCACTCGCACCCTTTATCGGGAACGCGCAAATGAGGGGCGCGAGGGTGGAAGTGCGAGTATTGGGACGGGGCCAGTGAGTCAGTGCAGAGAGGGAGGAGCCAGTGAAGAGGGGGAAGAGTCAGTGCAAAGAGGAAGTAGTCAGTGAAGAGGGGGAGGAGCCAGTGCAGAGGGGGAGGGGTCATTGCAGAGGGGGAGGAGCCAGTGCAGAGGGGAAGGAGTCAGTGAAGAGGGGGAGGAGTCATTGCAGAGCAGTGCGTTATAGACTTAGGCAGAGGTGGAAGTTTATCTGTATAGCACAGTTCATGCACAAGGCGACTCAAAATGCTGAACAAGACAAGAAACAATCACACATAAATAATCACAGAATATTACAAAGAGTAAAGATAAATGCATTCAGTTGTAGAACAGTTAAAAGCTGTTTTTAACCAGGATTTGATTATTGTCAGAGAAGAAGCCTGTCTTACATTTTATGGAAGACTGTTCCAGATTTTAGCTGCATGAATCTGAAATGCTGCCTCCTCATGTTTAGTTCTGACTCTGGGACCAGCTGGAGGCCAGTCCCTGGACTCCTCAGAGTCCCAGCAGGGGGCCAGTCCCTGTGCTCCTGAGAGTCCCAGCAGGAGGCCAGTCCCAGTCATATGGCACTAACATGTACTCTGGTGCAAGGCCATGGAGTAAAGATAAAAAACGTATACACTTTCTTTTAATATACAGTATCTGATGAATTCTGGTGCCTTATCAAAATGACGGCTCTGGGAGTTCTAGTAGTTTCAGGATTCAGGGAGTTCTAGTGTTAAATGGCTGATTCTGTGATTATAGAGAAAAGCGAGACCTCTGATGCTGCTGTTGTCTCTGTGTTTTGAAGTTGCCGGTCAGAGCGCTGTCCCAGATCCAGGTGTGTGTCTTTGACGTGGATAATCTTGGGGTTTATTGCTATAGGAGGCACGCTCTAAAAAGACCAGTGACCACTTGAAATTCTTTGGTTTTTAGTGAAGCGAGTGGGCGGCGCTGGGTCCTCCATTTAGCCTGATTTCCTGTCTTTAAAGAAGCATGAATGAGCAGCTTTAGGCCATTGAGCGCGCCCTCACCTACAGCAGCGTTTGATCTGTTCCCGCGACGCAAACAGGTTGAAAGGAGAGAGGGCCCTTAATGTCAAGGCCATTTTTAATGAGTCTCGGCGGACAAGACCAACCACAGCCGCTGGAGGAAAGTGTAATCCCTGCTTTAGCACAATCACTTCCTGGATGTTCCATGTGGCCTTTTATTGCACACTGAACTTTCAGACACAGCTGGACGACAGCGGAGTAAAGGGGAGAAAAGGGGCTGGGAGAAAGACTGGATCAAAGTCTATATCCTTTGTATTAAACTACCGCACTGTTAAACCACAGAACTGAAAAAAGGGATGAAAAATAAGTAAAGAAATGCTAAAATGTGGCTAAATGTATCGTAATTTGAGCACATTCTGACTGCCTTAAAAACAGATTTACCAATGGGGCAAAGCAAAATGATCTTGTTTTAAAAAGATACAAGAAATGTCTCTTTTGAATGAGAAAATAAAGCAACAGTTCTTGAAAAAAGACTAGATGGCTTTGTCCCAATCGGAGAATGTTGTTTGAGGACAGTCACAATGTGCTCAAATATGTGGAAGAAAGAGAGTGACGCCTTTAGCACAGAGCAACAAGTGGGAGAGAGGTGTAGGGTCGGAGAGGGTTTGGGCCTGTGTGTTGTCAGAGTGTGTGTGTGTGTGTGTGTTTAGTGTCGTCTGTCTTACTGTTTGTACTTTACAGTTGTTTGTTTGAGAATTCTACTGCATGAGATTGTTAAAACAGTGTGTGTGTGTGTGTCGGTGTGTGTGTGATTGTGTGTCTGTGTGTGTAACCCTTTAATGGTGTGTGTGTGATGGGGTTGGAATCCAAAAAAAATCTGCTTCATTCAACCCCTTTTCGAACCAGGTACAAGTTTTTTTGTCTGTTATATTGATGTAAAAATAAGTATTGTGCAGATTGGAAATAAATGAATGAATAGGATTGAAAAATAATAATAAATTAATAAAAAAATTAAATAAAATAAAAACATTGATTCAAGCGATTAATACCTCATAACTTTGGCAGTGCACGTCTTCATATTGAGCCTGGAGGATGTTGCCGGTGGAGTCTAACCACCTCCTGAGGCCAGATTGGCAGCCACATGCGTCAGTCCAGCTCCAGGCGTCTGTGGCCACATCTCATCTCCCGTCTGAAGAGTCAGACTCATTCAGAGATCCACGCTTTTGACACAACAGGACTGGATTATTCTCATGCAAGTCAGCGTGTACGAACTGGCTCCAGGAACTAATGCATGTGGCTCCAGTCTCGGCGGAGCTCCATCGCCTTGATTTCCAATAAAGTTTTTTTGTAACCCTCATGTTGTGTTACACTGTAAAAAAGAAAAACTCAACATTTCAAGGCAACCGAGTGCACGGAATTTTTGAGTTGAAGGCATCAACTGCTTAATTGTTTACGTTTTGAAGAACTATTGTCACTGTTATACCCTGCATGTTTGCATATTTGGCTATGTTTAAAGTGAGGTTCAGATAATATGCCATTTTCAGCTGTGGATTTACACACTTGTTAATACTTAGGAACTTAACTGTTTACCTGTCATCTTTGGCAATATTGCATTATTTGTAAGGTCTCAACAGGAGTCAGAAAGTGAAACAAAAAACAAGAATAAACTGCCCATACACTGAAACTTGATTTGCTTTGGGCATAAGATTACTTGTTTACATTGTGGAATTGTAAAGCTGTTTCAAATAAACATGCGGCAGTGGCTCAGTTGGTAGCACATTGACCTTAGAGCCTGAAGGTCGTGGGTTCGAGCCCACCACAAGACCTACTTGACGACTCCCACTAATGTCTGCTGTCTACCCCACTTTGCCTGAAGCCCCCGCTGAATAATCAAGGCTTCTATGGACTCACCACCTGCAGGAGGATCAGTGAGTGGCTCTGTGTACTGGGTGCAGCTCTGACTGCCACCTCCCTGACAATTATCAATACATTTAGTTTAAATTCCTTCCTAAGGTTTCTGTTTCTCATAACACTTGAAGAATGTATTCTTTAAAAAATGTTTAAGTGTCTTTATGTTATCACTGTGTTTTAATTCCACTGACAATCTGTTCCATAATCTTATTCCACACACTGATGTACAGAATTCTTTTTTTGTGAGGAGCCATCCAGCGCCGTGGCCCATGTCCTGAGTCTGTCAAACCGCTATGCAGCCATCTCCACTGACATCCCAGCCCCCTCAGCAGAACCTCTGGACTTTTCAGCGTACTCTACTGCTGTTCGTCGATCTATGTCCACTGCGAGAAAGACTCTCCTGAGGACGGCTTCCTTTAGAAGAGTTTTTAAAGGAAGCCGTCCTCAGACGAAATAGTGGTCATTCCCCTTCTCTGACCCCAGTGCATCACCACCGCTCACCTCCACCGGGTCAGCAGCAGCGCCCCGAGCCTGCTCCTCTCGCCGCTCCAGCGTCTCCGTGCACACAGTGTGGGTCGCCCGGAGCTGAGAATCAACACCCCTGCTCCTCTCCATGTGTTCAGCAGCGCCCCGGTTCGGACACATGTCTGGTTGAGCCCGCTGATTCTGGCCATGGTCACCGAACGCCCTCTCCGCGGCTACGTCCACTCTTCGCGGCTACGTCCACTCTTCGCGGCTACGTCCACTCTTCGTGGCTACGTCCACTCTCCGCGGCTACATCCACTCTTCGTGGCTACGTCCACTCTTCGTGGCTACGTCCACTCTCCGCGGCTACATCCACTCTTCGCGGCTACGTCCACTCTTCGTCTCGACAACTTTGATTATTGGAGATTCCATCGTGAGACACGTCCGCTTTTTTAATGCGGCCACTCTCTGTTTTCCCGGAGCCACTGTCCCAGACCTCCTCATATGTCTCCCTCCTCTGCTTCAGTCCCTGCCCGATACCATCTCAAAGGTAGTCGTGCATGAGGAGTTTAACAACATCAAACTTCAGCAGTCAGAAGTAACAAAGAGGCGCTTTATGGATCTGTAAACCGGGGTGACTGCCTGTACAGTCGTGTTGTGGCGCTGAACATGTGGCTCCAGTCTGCATGCTGCACTTTGTTTTTGTGAATAACTTTGGCCTGTTCTGGAAGCGTCTCGTGGCCTATCGTCCAGATGGTCTGCACCCAAACAGATACGGCACCAGTTTATTGATGGACTTTTATGCCATGTTGTTCAGTGTTCTCCGAGGGGGGCGTGACTGTTTACATCTGAGGCCTATCGGCTTGACTTGACATGAAAATCTCACATACTGCGACTTTAAACTATCTTCTTTTCACGTTCAAATGATAATGTTTGAAACTCTTCTTCTGCCCCTGATCAGAAATCTCCATCCCCCCGTTCCCTCTCCGTGTGCCCCTTTAACATCTATGACAGCTTGGAGTCGTTGTGGAAGAGGTTCTTTCTGAGGGTAAAGCTGCACATTCTTCTTGGCAAAGATTGGAATTTTTGGAAATCTTCCCATATCCACTCGTTGTGTTGAAATTGAAAATAGAAAACAATAATAAATGGCCTCAGACTAACGACGGTCACTAACGATGAGAGGGAGAAGAATGTGTTAACTTTCACAATCTTCAGAATATTCCCAAAACAATGAGCGAGTAACCTTTCAACAGACCGTGTACAGATGGACAATGCTAACCTGCTAGCTCGGTGAAGCGCAATAGGGAAGTGCTCCTTGACGAGGTTTTGATCAAATTTGCTCTGGCTCCTATTGACTTCCATGTAAAAGTAAAAGCCTCTGGCTCAGTAACCGTTTGTGTCACACTCGCCATTTTGGGCTTGAACATCCATGGTTTAGTGCTCTCTGTCATCCTGGTGTTTATGTTTAAAGGTATATGGTTATTCTAGATTATCGGAAAGAACCTCCCTCTCCACTTTATGAAGTAAACTCTCTGATCTTGTTTGACGAGCATGTATCACCAGAATACTGTACCTATATAATAATACTGTGATAATACTATATACCTTTTTATTTATTTGTATTGTTATAAGTATGTTTTCATGCTAATAACAACTGGATTGCTCGTGTGTTTGCCTGAAATTAATGACAAATAAACAAACAAAAAAATCAAATAATATTTTGTTTTTGTAAATCCAGATAGGAGCCATAGAAGCATGCCCAATCAGATGCCTTCATTCACGGGGGAAACTCCGGCTTGCCTTAGCGACCGTCTTAGCAACACATCTGCCCCTGTTGTGACGCAAAGCTAACACAAACACTGATACATGTTACGGGTGAGTTTTGAACCCCAAAGCAGAGGGAGGCCAAAGCAACAGTCTTTAATTAAACAAAAATACAGGAATACTCAAAAAGGAAGGAACAGTGGAGACAGGGAGCAGGCCGGCCGGAGAGCAGAGCGAAGAGACGAGCACTGGACGAGCACAGCATCTGGAAATTGAAACAGGTAAGTTGTGTAACCCAAAAACACAGGTGAGCAAAGAAGACACTGCGTAGCACGACCGATATGATTGAATTATCTGGCAGAGGAGAGATGAGCAGACCAGGGTTATGTACAGAGTTGAGAGGAGAGAGTGGATGCAGGTGTGTCTGGTCAGCAGCCCAGCCAAGCCCCGGCGATCCAAGATGGCGCCCTATTCAAATGAATGGTTGTGCTCAGTGGCGCTTTGTGACGGCATGGGGGCTGAAAGATTAGCGGAAGTTGCCTGAAACTCGCAAAGATCTATGGGAAACTCGCCTGTATTTGGGCATCGTCTGGTCCTCCCGGTTCTGCGCAGTGGATGATCTCCCATAATGCGTTGCGCCAAACACGCGTGTGTGGGTCTCACACCGGGTCTCACGCACGTGCACAGAGGGGCTCGGCCGCGCTCTGACCAATCAGAGCAGTTCATCAGAGCGGGAGTTAGAGCGAGAGCCAGAGGAGCAGAGTTTGTGGCACTAAAGTGTGGATTTAAACAAAACCGAAGGATTTAAGAAGAAAAAAAGTTCAGGATGACAAGGGACACTAAAATCCCCACAAAATCCGACCTTTATGAAAGCTGTAGGTTCTCTTTCAGCTGAGGTTGAGCTGTTTTAATATGCATTGAGTTCTATGGGGAAAATTTCTGGGTAGCCCACGTGAATTTAGTCTGGTTCAGTCTGCAGTACCGCGAGAATCCCCTGAGCACGTGAGTTATTCAGCTACAAGCTAGTAATACCCTATCCAGTTAATATAATACATCCATGAGCCCAGCAGAGACCGGCCACGCCCCCCAGTAGAGACCGGCCACGCCCCCCAGCAGAGACCGGCCACGCCCCCCAGCAGAGACAGGCCACGCCCCCCAGCAGAGACCGGCCACGCCCCCTCTCTCACACATGCTCTGGAAAGAGAGCAAATCAAACAGAATCATGACAATATAGGGGAATTGGCTTGAGCTAGCTTATGTTCTGCACTCAGTCAGTCCACTCCTAATGTATGGTCTAAGACTTTCCAGCACAATTGTATAAAAGTAACACGATAAATATCCAGATCATTATAAATTTGTAAAGAATAAAAAGTCCTAAAAGTGGTTAACGTCACATTCTAGATATTAACTGGCTAAACTCTCTTATAACTTGAAACACAACATAACATACTTCAATTCAATGTTTTTATTTTGTTTCCATATAGCCCTATGTCATCCATCACGCCCAGACTTCCTTCTCCACTAGCCGTAAATCACAACAGCAGTTATGTCAGAGGACTTTACAAAGCTGTCGATTCGCCGACACAGATCAGAGAATCAAACAGTTCAAACACAATAAAGCTGCATTACCTAACTTTATTTTTGTATTCATTACAAAAATTCAATCCATATCCATGCAGTGCACTGGGATATACGTCCTTTTGAAGAAAAAGCAGCGCGGATTTGTGCTGCCGTGACATTTTATTTTAGATCAAATTTTTGTGCAACAAGGAAGAGAATTTGTTTTGGGACTCGATTGTGACCAATCACAGCGGACCACTGGCCCCCGCTTTCTTGAGAAAAGCCACAGGTCTCTCGTTAGCACAGACAGCTGAGGTAAAAAAGCGGCAAAGGCAAACCTGAAGCTTCCTGAAACATCCAAAGAAATTCTTGTTCCTCCGCGCTTCCCGGTTCTGTCATTCTATGGTCACGCCATCCACGTTGAAATGTGCGATCCATATTGTGAGACGTGAGCTCCGTAAACACATAAGCACAGGTTGAGTGGCGAGGTAGTGGGGGCGATAGCTT